AATTATATGTATCTATTGAAATTGTAAAGAAAAGAGAGCAATTTTTATAAGGAAGAACAACTGTGAATTCATTCGATCAATTAAAATATACCATATTTCATAAGGATAATGTTTAAAGAGGGCATATGAATTTTGGAATATGTTCAGTATAGCCACCATCTTCATCCTTATTGCTAGTATATGATTAATATATCTTTGTTGAAATATATTCCAACATGCAAACCAAAGTGGTAGGAAAAAAAAATGTAAACTCTTACCTTAAGAATAGACCAACTAAAAGAACAACAGCCCAGATGGCAAATTTACTAATGCTGAAGTTTTTTCAGATTATTTCAATTAAGATTCATGCCTTCTCAGTACATAAAATGTTATTAGACTTTTTCCAGACTCCAAAAGACTTGGGTAATAAAAAATTGATCAATGAATGACAATGCCCAGAGCAATTGGTACCAAATAACCAAATTCTTATTGGGTTACACAATAGATGAAGATGTTAATAAATGTTCCAGTTTTTAACATTCTTCAGATCGAATTTATTAGCTCAAAATGATAAACTTTAGAGAACTCTTGGCAAAATGAGCGTGTAATCAACATGCATGAAAATGTGTTAAAAAGTACATCAGAGTATAACATGGCTGCAACCTTCGAACAACAAATATATATTAGGTGAACTTTATTTATTGGAGATCAAAACTGCAGTCATAAGACTTAACAGAACTTGAAAGAGAATTTTCAAGACACACAAAGAAGACCAACTTATAATAAAGTAATTTTTATCGCAAAAGGTTACATCAAAGACAAAAATGCAGGATGATGATTGTACCAATCCAGCACTCCATTCGGAAGAAATCTTTAATCTCTAAATGGTAAATAACGATCATGGAAAATCGGCTCATGATATAGTAGGCACACTTAAATACATGGAGATAAATAAATGTACAAAGAACACACCACTTACAATCACAAATCATCACTGAGGATCCACAACTGAAGCCTTAGCCTTCTCTTCCCCGGAATATCGATTCTCATCACCACTCGCTAACCACTTTTACCAACAATAGTCTCCGTCCCAATCAATGCTAATCCAAGGTTCAAATTTTCTACACTATCATGTAACATCCCAGCCTCAATTTGCTTACCCTTTTCGATATCATCATTTTATAAGCTATTATTTCCACATCATCATCACCCTCATCTGATGTAATGTCAATAATTTTCACTCTCCTCTCAATGTTCACAGGTTGTTATTATGTATATTTTTGATAGACCATTTCCATTCCGCCATCTTTCATGTCAGAGTTTGGCACACTAAGCACATTAATATCAAAATCCAACCTATTTTCCTCTTTCCCGTCATTAAAATCAAATCAACGTTGATATCAAAGTCCCATTTATTCCAATCATTAATATGAAAAAGACTTGAGTGCACTGTAAAACTATGAGAAACCTCATTCCCANTCATTGCTCCAACACCCACTTCTCCTTTTTTAATATCACGCCCTCTTTTCCACCACCCATTGTCTCAAAACTCCTGTAGTTTTCACCAATCCCATCAAAACACCTAACCTTCTTAAATCCCAACATTTCATTTCTCTATGAATAGCCCAAACAATTGAGTGAACTTGCTTTCATTCTACCTTCCAACCACCTAACAATTGTATCCTGCCTTTTCTCGTAAAATCAATTAACATCCATGGCAAAAAGCTTTGACCTGAGATTTCACTGAACTTTGCGTTAATGTTAATCATCTAATACCAAATCAAAATGAATAGGTACCTTCTTTGTCCTACGTTTTTTAGCTGCATCACAAAGAACATCACTTAAAAATAACATATGGAATATTTCATTTAGATTACACAATTTCTAATTCTATTTAGTTATAAGAAATTGAGAGAAATATACAAACTCATTTGAAGTTCAACTATGTTGGGGGTAAATTTGAAATTAGAGATAATGACATCCATGTAATTTGTTGCAGCACTTTGGCATGTTCGAAGATATGCCGCAATTGTTACTATTAGTCACTTGATTCCACAGGTTAAAAATCACATTGTATAAATTTTTATACAATAGTGAGACTGAGAAGGTTGGTTTTGCTCCTGTTAAATCGCCACAGATAAATTGAAGAAAAAAGAGGGCCAGTTTTATATGCTCTAATAGAAAACAAATATTACAGGCCTTATAAATTAGCTTGGTCTATGCTAGTTTTGCAGCATCTGATTCCTTTACATCCTCCATTATATCTAGCAATAACAACAGCATGAACACTATTTCACTATTTCCTGTTTAATTTCTTGTTTTCCTCCTGCAGTTGAGAGGACTCAGAGGGTCCTCTCAAAAAGAATGAACGTTCCACTATAATGATGGCATTAAAAGAATGAACGTTTCAAATCAAAAAGAGGCTTACTCAGTGTGATTAGGAAGTACATTTCGTATGTATTGCTGAATTGTCTCAATTTAAAATTCAATCCACAAAAAAATTGAAAACCCAATAACCCCAAAATAACCTAACCCACCAAACAATTGGCATCACGGTTGAAATTAACTCCAAAACCAGTATTTTCAAACAATGAATTTGCGCGTTTAAATTCTAAAACGTAAAACTTTCGAGTTTGGACTCACGGCTAAAGGGCTTCGAGGAACTTGTCGTGCTCAGGATCAGTCCAGCTCTCCCGCGACTTGGTAACAGTATAGGGCTTTCGGTCCTTCTTATTTGAGTCATCGGTCCCGTTGGAGGTTGAAGCTCCGGCTGTAAGAGAAAACGACTCGAGATTCGGAAAAGCCATACCCGTAGGATCCAAGTAAAAGCCTTCCGGTGGGTTCGGGTTCAATGACACCATACACTGCTTTTGTGTGTGTGCTTCGAGCTCGAAGATTTGAGAGTGTTCGAGTGATCTAGGGCTTTCTTTTGTCGTCACGAGGAGAGAAGATAGAGTAGGATTTGTGGAATTTTTATCACGCTATGAATTGATAGCGAGACAAGACACCGAGAAAGCGAGGATGCCGTTGGTTTCTCGCAGAAGGTTTATTGCCGTGAATGAGAGTCTACTGCCGTGAACGGGAGCAATTAGGGCAAATTTATGCTTCGAAATGGAGGAACGGGGTTGGAGAAGGGAAGGCAACGGGTTTGCTAGGGTTCTGTAATGTAAGGTAAAAAGCGAGTGGTAGACCGATACGACGCCATCTTGGTTGACGACACGAGGAATCGACACGTGGCAAAAAAACTGGCTCTTTTAGGATAGGTAGGATTTAATAAAGTATTTGGGATGCAACTATGTACTAGAAAATTAATTATGTTTCTGTTAGTAGTAAAATTTGCTACAGTCAATTAGATGTGGTTTTGTTATACTAAACTTGTAAATTAGCAAAGCCTTAGTGTGTAAATTATATTCCATTTTTCAATTAATATTGCAAAAAATATTTAAAGTTTACATGTAGGGTTGGATTAGATAACATGAATATGAAATTATAGGTTTTAGTAGTTGAAGTAAAAAAAATTAGTTACGTGATAGAGACGGAGCTGTAAAAATTGTTTTCATAATATAGATATAAATCTCAAAAATATTATAATGTAATTTATAAAATGTTTCTTTTACTATTTAGCATTTAACTTAGGGAAAATTGCAGTCATGGTACCAAACATTTCAACTTTTTGCAAACTTTGCCCAAACCTTTGTTTTGTGCCACCCACAGTACCAAACCTTTAAACATTTCACACCCGGAGTCCAAATGGACGGTTTCCATCGAGTTGACTATTAGTTGACCAATAATTAAAGTCTGACCAATTTTTAAAGGTTAAATATGTAACTTTACATTTTTCATATGATAAAATTAGAATTTAAGAATTAAATTAAAAATAAAAAATAAAAAACCCACAGATACCGTTAGGATTTGAAGG